AAATAGCTGGTATGAAATCCTTCATACATTATAGGTCCCCAAGAATTTGTTGAGGATTGGCGCAGAGTATCTTGAAACAGTCCACAAGCAGGGTTAACTTAAAGCGGCTTCCACTTTTCCACTTCACCTTTCATACTCGACTTTGGTCCTTTCGGTTAAAACGAGTCTCAGTTCTTTTGGTAATAATGTACACGAAGAAATTACGCGCGTCTGATTGGCTGAAAATGAATGGATTCTCATGTAATACGAGTGCAAGGTACAAATAGCGCGCGCGCACTGCCAAAATTTACGTCTGCCTTGACCCTCTGTACATTATTAACAAATAACAACAATCGCCACGATTTCTAGTGCAATTTGGTGTAATAAGCACTTGAAAATGTTTCAAAGACTACAAAATGCACATGCCATACAGGCTCGACAATTTTTTTGTCTTTGAAAAATCTACACGTGCTTTTTAACACCAAATTGCACTCGATATCATGTTGATACCTCTACCAACTCTCAGTCTTATCTTTTGATCTGATTGGTTGAAGGACGGTGGGAGTGTTTACATCACTCAACAAAAGAAGTAAAATTAGCCATTGCAATCAACTATTAATTTCAATGCTTAAATGATACTTGTTTAAAAAAAATTCACAAGTACAAAGATACAATGACTTAAAAACTTACCGTAGTCTTGTCGTTCTCAAAAGATTGCACTGAGGCATAACTAGACTGTCGGGACACGAGAGATATTTATCGAATTTGGCCTGTGATGAAAATAAAATTATGAGTACATTTATTTTAAGTCTCTATCAACCCGACAATGCTCTAGATAGAAACTGAAGTCACATTTTCAACAAAGAAAAAAAACAGAATTTGAGTAATGGTAACCAAGAAAGAGTGGATTCGCGGGGACTGAAAATTTTTTCTTTGTCCCACGATCGTGATATGACGAAAAACATCTTTCACGCAGAAGGTTGTTTAATTTGAAAATTATCATTGCTTTATCTCAAACGCAACTTTTTTGAGATCATTTATTAGCTTCCTTTATTCCAGCAGCCCAGTTTTAGAAAAGAATTCGCTTCACAACATCCAATTACTTTGGTGGGAGAAGAGGTCCTATTTTCCGTACAATCTCTTAAATTTAGCCCAATATATAAATTTCACAAGCCGTTCCTAATTTGTCGGCTAAGTTTTTTTAGACTCAGGGAATCTGGTGTCCCGGGAGTGAAGTTCTATGCTTTGCTGGAGAACGAAACAAAGGTCACATAGGACGCTATGTGTTCACGCCTGTGAGGCGACGATTAACATCTGTACATAAAAACGAAAACATTACACACCATGGCGTCCTTAACACTCTGCGGATCCATTCCATGAAGCGAGGACAGCGCAACCTTGAGAAAAACGCAAAGAAAGCAGTGCCAAACGGTTTAAAAGAAAGTTGCATGATGAAATTCAATATCGCATCAATTCCGAACACTTCAGCACACCAACTGACTCACCCTCTGACCGCGGTTCTCCTGGTAAACAGTGTACAGATTACCAACACCGGAACGAGCAAGAATGAATGATGCTTGCTCACTGATCAACGTATCTAGATGTGCTTCCGTCTGAAAGAAAAAAAATGGAAAAAGATTTCTAATTTTTAGACAAGTGACGCTTATCTGCAAGATTTTAGGATACATAATGAGTTTGACAATTCTGCAAGACTTGTAGACTGGACGAGAATGTTTACCATCCCGCAACTTTTAACATCTCGCATTTTGAAAGTTCGTTAAAAATTGAAAAGTTTGCGACGTATCATAACGTCCTTTCCATTTATTGGGTCTATTTCGCACCGAGAGTTTTTCAGATTGACAAAGCCACGTGACAGTCTTATGGAAAAGCCGCAGCGAAGCAACTCTTAAGATGTCCTCACTCCGTCTCCCCCGTCTCCCTGCCCCTGTATGCAGAGTGCAAGTTTTGTACTCTTCGTAGGGCCAACTTCGCTTAAAAATTCCAAGATGGCAGCCTTACGATCGACTTTGTAAGCTTAGAGACTGTTCAGACACTTAACTATCTCAAGCCTCTGACACGCTTTCTTACCTGACCCGCTAGCATTTCGATGTGTTTATCAGTAAATTCGTACACCGCCAACGTGCTCTGTATCTGATGAATGCAGTTTATCATGTAAGCAGCCATGTCTGACGCATTCAGATGGCTGGCCGACATGGAGCACATCTGGATGAGTGGGTCGACAAGACAAGAAATAATCTACGGGTAGAGAAAAACAAGGCCAAGTTTGAGCAATTTTCAATTGGCTATGGAGAGTAATCTGGAATTACCTTGGTTCGCTTTACTTCGCAATGTGATTGGTGCAGAAAACTCGCGTCACTTTCTGGACCAATCAGATTTAAAACTGAAATCAATTGCCATTTGGTCACCCGCGTTTTCCCACGCTTCAAGCCGTTTGCTTTAGTTTACTTTAAATTGTCATTGGCTGCTCAATATGTTTTCCCTTCATCTGATTGGCTGATGTGATTACTTTGGTTTTGACTTCAAACACTTAACCAAAATGCGCTCCAACCAATCAAGTATAGATTACTAAAATTCCACAACTCTTCCCTAATTTTTTTTTGATAAAAATTTCCAGACAAAAATTTTCCCCAAATAACCTGTATGCGCTTTCCAATTACAGCCTCTTTTTCAAAAAACAACCTGCAACAAGCTACGTTTAGCATACGCCCTATTTTAACCGCTCTCTTTCTGATGTCAAAGGAATTACATTCGGAAAAAATGAAAGATTAGGCTTTGAGGGTGCTCCCAATGGAAAGACTTGAACCGCTGTGCTAATTGAATTCACCTCAAAAAAAGGCTTGGGTGGCAATTGCTCTTCACCTACCCTTGAATAATCAGCTTGCCTGGCATCCAGTGGAATAACAGAAGCATCGTGACATGTAAGGACGTCTCTAAGTAAACTCATCGTTTCTCTTAGCGATTCTGTAGGACTTAGATCTGGGGGAGGGAGTTCAATCTAGAAAAACATTGAACAAGCGGCAAAATAAGTTGATAAGATTAAGATTAATCATAATAAAATAAAAACGGGCATAGACGCAAAGAATCGAAGAGGCAAAAAGGAAAAGAAGCAATGAGCAAAAAGGCAAAGAAGCAGAAAAGCAAGCCATGAGGAAAAGCCGTTCTTTCAAATTTTACGCACAACACTCCACAAAAGAAGTTTATAAAGAGAAGAAGCGCTGCGTGACAACCCAGAGAATAGCTACAAAGGGTATCAAGCCTTTACCAATAAAGTAAGAGCGTTTGTCACTCACCTTTTCTAGCAGTTTGCTCGCGTGACAGTTTAAACTGTTGTAGAACATCTTCAACGCTAGAGCATTCATGTCAAGAATGGTAACTGTTACCGACGCATCTTCATCAATAAGGCTCCTGTAGGGCAAAAGGTGTATTGCAATGCGCTTTAACCCTTTAAATCCTAACATCAGTAATCAGTTTCTCCACATTTCCTAAGGTGCTGACAAGGATATTTTTGTTTAGTAATCAGGAACTTCTTCCTGTGACGTTAATGTGTGATATAGGGGTGATATTGAGAATTAGGATCGGGCCACTCCTAATTATCAAAGTATTAACTTTTTTTTCAGCTTTTATTTTCTTGTTTTAGTCAAGAAATAGACACAAGAGATGTTCTCACAACTCAAATTCTTCCGCATTATCGAACCGTAAGTTTCTTTTAGCACTTTGTTGAAGACAACTCCCGCCTAGTCCTCACAGGGGATGGGGGCAATTCTGCCACAACTAAACGAGTCTCCAATCATCCTTCTGTGGCATTTCGATCAAACTATTCTGTTTTTCACCTCTAAATCTGGGCTGTTAATTAGCAATCTTTTGAGGCTCTGTTACACAATGAAATAAAACTTTCATCTTACCCTATCGTTGTGCCATAAAATTTTAGAATGTTTGCTAAACTGAACAGCATCACGGCGCCCGGCTCTGACACAATGACCTGCTCCACTCGTACCTACAATAATCATACATCAATAAAACGGTCTCGCATTGTGACAAACAAAGATACAAACACTCAAGGCCAGTTATTTAGACAAAGTTTAACCGTTTTTCAACAAAATCTATTCTTGTGAAGACGGCCAAAAGTTAACAGTGGGAAGACATTTATTTAATTGAATCAACCCTCTTAAAGATAGAGCCTGAGGCCCACTAATTGCGTTAAACCGTGGCTTGGATTAGATCTCGAGTAATGAACTACGAATACGAGAGTAGACGTCCATTTTGAGCAGGAATACTGATATCAGCTGCTTAACCTTTTGACTCCCAAGATCTCATTAGTAATTCTCCTTACAATCTGCTACACAATTTATATAATGTTAGTTTGGAGAATTTGGAATTGGATCAAACAATAATCCCCTAATTGATATTTTTCTTTACTCTCATTACTTGTCTGCTTGATATTATACTGACACTGTCTGGAGAAATTCTGTCTCGGTCCCTAGTGGGACTTAAAAAAGCACGAGCGTTTCGTCGCCCGATAGGATAAGTTCTAAGACTTGAGGACAGCAAGAAGTCTGCTGGGGGTCTGGCACTAATAATGGGAGCCACACTTCTGGCCGACCTCTCGCTGGCTAGCTTACTCTAGGCCTCAAACTTTTTTCGCGAGCGCAAAAAACGCTGACGTGCCGCAGCGCTGATGTGTGCCTCGATGGGCAAACTAAAATTTTCCCAATCAATGAAGCAACTTACCTTAAATGGTCTACACACTCCTTCTGTTATGTGACTAAGGATTTCTTTTTGTATGTTGTCGTCTGCTGCAAAAGCAAAGTGATTAACAAATGAGCGGAGATGAATATTTCCCTTTCCCATGTATCTGTCTGTTCAAAAAGTAACAATGATTAAAAATAACACATATATTTAAAAGAATTAAAAACATACTTGATGATGAATTTCTTAGTAAACTATGGAGAAGTTCTTTTTCTGAAGCTATCGCCTGATGAAGCCATGCTAACATATCGCCAACATATCTGGAATGAAATGTAAAATTGTGGAACTGTAATAAACTGTACATATATACATGCGCATGTAACACAAATTGTTAAAGTTGATTCTTTGATGGCAAAATGACCCAAGAGTTTCCATTTTGTTCTCAGTTTTTTAGGGAAACTTAAAAAATACTACTATTACCTTTCTGTGCTTCTGTTATATTTTATTTAAACAGTTTAGGAATCTCCGTACTGAAAGCTTACATCGTAATTCTACAATGTATTTTTTAAGTGAAAATTCAAATTGTACAACCATCACTTGCAACTAAATATAAAATGAGAATGATGAAACTTGTTTTGCAAACTTAAAAATTGTTGCTTTCTTTAACAAGATATCAACAAGAATTACAGAAAAAAAATAAATACATAGAAACAATAACAACAACACACATTTTAAAGTTGTGAAGTTACATACATGCATGGAGCATAACCCAACAGCAATAGAATTAAGATTCCAATACATAGTGCAACATGTAGCTGTTACTTTGTAAATCAAGCATTTTTCAGTAACATTTACAGAAAATCTTACATTTGTACTATCAAATGACCTACAACAATCTAGGCTTTTCCTACCTGACTGGATCATGTGAGTGTAATTCAATTGGTCTGGGAGTTCCACCAGGTCCTATAAGGTAAATGCAACCAGAGGAAAAACATTACACATCACTGTAAAGGAAAACCACCCCTTCAGTTCAATATGCAAGAATCCAAGCTGACATCTTCATGGCACTTGAGCCCCTCAAAGTGTTTATATTCAAGGTGTGCCACCTGCTTTTGTCTTTCTTCCTTACATTTGTTGTAGTGTATTATAGTGTAACTTTTTCAAGACAGTAAATATCGGCTCCATCAATGAAAAAAATTAAAAAAAAGAACATGATAGTCTATGGTACATGTTGCTCAGAAATTTTCCCCTCATTCAAAACCAGTTTACTTGGCTAAACATTAAAAGAAAACATGCCTCCTCTTGTGAGTGCATCAATGAAGCATCTCACCACCGCAGTTCTTCTGGCTGTTCCATATTCATCTAAAGCATACCTATGAAAAGTAAGGAATAGGAAAATTAATTACAGCTGAGCAAATAAAAAGAAGAAAATCAGCCCAAAAACAAAATTAATGAGAGCACACCACATGAGACTCTGGAAGTGAAACACATGTAAATGTATCAGCCTAAACTATTTTTTGCTGATTTTTTTTTACTTGCAAGGAGCTGATTCCAAAACAGAGGATCTGCTTGCAGTCTAACAACTGGGCAGAGCCATTTTTTTTCCCAAACACATGCATGCATATGTAAAGTTCAATATTAGATAACACATTTGGGGCATGACTACAAAACAGGGTAAAGAAAGAGACTTTAAAAGAAGTATAGTGTTCATCTGATGATACATTCAAGTGACAACTGGTGAAAATTGATTACCAGTAAATTACATTTTTAAGGGAAAGGAGAGGAGGAGGGTTGGGGGGGGGGGGGGGG